CAGTCCGACTGCAGGTCGGGGCTATGGCCGCCGTACTGCTGAGGGCTGCTGCCTCGCTCCTGTCTCGCCGCTGCTGCTGCGCTAGCTCGCGCTGCTGCCGCTGATGTTGCCTCGCTCCTGCGCTAAGAATAGCACTGCTGCCTCAACCGATACGCATTGGCGCTGATGCAGCATGCCAGTGGCTCGATGCCTCACAATGAGGCTGGTACCGGTATAAGTACCGGTGGCCGAGAGGCCGGCCTCAATGCTGCGAGGCCTGGCCGTGACCTGAACCGTCGAGATCGACGGTTCAGATCAGATCGGCGGGCGGCAGGCTCAAAAGCACCGCCAGGCCCAAAACGAGAATGTCGTTTTGGCCTGCCCGTCGGTCTGGTCCAAAAACGTGGCCTTTACGGCCTGCTGTACCCCAAGTCCAGGCCTTTAGGCCCTGCTGTGTCCCTCTAGCCCTAAGTCGGGTCCAGTAGGGCCCGTGTGGCGTCAAAGATGTAACACACTCCCCTTCTTAAAAGACCGAGCTACCTGCGAGGGCGGAGTTGTCTGTCCGCTACCGGGGTGGGTCGGGCGGGACGAGCTGCTTCCTTGGCAAGGCGTCGCTTCTCATAGTCGGCGAAGATAAGGGGTGCAGAAGTCTGCAAGTCTGCACTTGAGATCCACCGAGTGTCGTCAGGCGCACATTGCTTGAATGTGACTTTGAACTGCATTGGCTTGTTGCCATACTTGCGGTGCGTGATGACTCGGTCCACTTCCTGATGTCCGTCCATAGAAGGCGGATCCTGTGATCGACGGTCGGGAAACTCGTCGGCGGAAGGTGGCGTGTAGATGGCCAACTTTGATGCGTGGAAGACCCGGTGCACTGGAAGGTGCGGAGGAATGTTGACCACAAAGGAAGGACCTGCGGGGTCGTCTCCAACGGCAGAAGTGACTTCCCATGGTCCGAACCATTTCGGAAGCAGTTTGCGCGAAACGTCCTGCTCGAGCGCAAATTTCTCGGAGAGGACCCAAACAAGGTCTCCCTCGCGGAAAGGACATGGAAGTCGACGTCGGTTAGCATGCTGCTTCATGCGGATCTGAGCCTTTTGCATAGCAAGGGACGTCTATGTCGGAGGTCTATGGCAGAAGGAGATCAGCGAAGATCCGTGCTTTCTCTCCACCATGATGTAGCTCAAATGGTGTGACGCAGATCGCTGGATGCACCGAAGTGTTGTAGGCGAACTCAATGTCGGGAAGCTGGTCAACCCAATCTTTCTGGTCGGGATGGATGAGCGTACGCAACATCATCTGAGCGGTCTGGTGTGCTCGCTCCGTCTGACCATCCATCTGCGGATGTCGAGCCGAGCTCGGCTTCATTGTCGTGCCAGACTCTTGCCATAAGGGAAGTCCAAAAGGCCGACATGAAGCGAGTATCTCGGTCGCTCACTATGTCTTCCGGAACACCYTGGTTGGTAATCCAACCGGTGTGCAAGAGTCGTGCGAGCTCAGGCGCTGCAGCATGATACTTACACGGAAGAAAGCGAGCATACTTGCTCAAACGGTCAAYGACCGTGAGAATACCGTCATGGCCGAGGCGATCGCGAGGGAACGGGCCTGTCACGTCCATAGCAATGGAGAGGCGGGGTGCCCGAGGAATCGGCAATGGTTTCAGTTCGCCAAAGGGGACTCGAGATCGACCCTTGTTACGGTGGCAAACTGCACATDACTCAATGTACCTCGTGACGTCGTGAAGGACGTCTGGCCAGTGAAAACGCTAGCGGAGGCGTGCTAATGTGCGGTTCACGCCAAGGTGTGCCGAAAGTCGTGCATCGTGGAATTCGCCGAGAAGACGAGTCCGTAAGATGCGATCTTTGGGCACAACTAACAAGTCCTTTCCTCTCGTGTGAAGGAGAAGGAACCCGTCGGARATCCGATAATGGCTAGCCGGCGGGTGATCCGATGAAAGCTCTGCGTAAAGCGTMRAGTAAGTCGGATCGGACTTGTAGCCTTTGACGAAACGCGGCTGCAGATCGTCATCGAGGTCGAACGCCGTGGTCACAATGGCGCAAAAGTCGGGCCGTCGTGAGAGGGTGTCCGCAGCTCGATTGGCGGGACCTGGAATGTGGCATGGGTCAAAGTCGAATTGGTCGATGTAATACATCCATCGACCGATCGTACTAGTGACCGTATCCTGCGTTTTATAAAAGGTCGACGGATTGTTGTCCGTATTCCATTTAAAACGCCGACGACCGAGAAGAAAGTGGCGCCACCGTTTGAGAACGGTGACGAACGCGAGTAACTCTTTCTTCCTAGCATCGTCGAGAGTGTTGACGAGAGGCACCTTTTGGGAGAAGTACTCGACCGGATGCCAACCGTCCTCGTGACACTGTTCCAACACCGCACCAATGTCGTATCCCGAAGCGTTCGTAGTCACTTGGGTGGGAAGGGTGGGGTCGTATATACGGAGGGCAGGCGCGGCTTGCATCGCTGCCTTCAACGTAGTGAACGCGCCACGGGCTGCGTCGTCGAACTCGAAGGGCACCTTCGGGGACTGAAGTCTCGACAAAGGAGCGGCCACTTTCGAGTATGACTCGACAAATCGCTGATAATATCCAGCCAAACCCATGAAAGAGCGTACATCCGTCGTGCAACGGGGTTCCGGCCAATCCACGATGGTTTGGTTCTTGTCCACTAAGGGACGAATGCCTTTCGGCGTAACATAGTGACCCAAGTACTCAAGCTCCTGCTTGGCGAACTCGCACTTGTCGAGATTCGCTTTGCACTTGGCCAGTCGCAAACAATCCCAAAAAACGCGAAGGTGTACGATGTGCTCGTCCAACGTCCTACTATAAACCAAGATGTCATCAAGGTAGATAAGGACGCTGCGATCGAGCAAGTCACGAAACTCAGTCGTCATCGCTGCTTGGAACGTCGCGGGGGCATTGGTGAGGCCAAATGGCATGACAACCCACTCAAAGTGCCCGTACCGCGTCTTGAACGCGGTTTTGTACCGATCTTGAGGCTGGATTTCGATCTGGTGGTAACCTGACTTCAAGTCCAACTTCGAGAAGTACGTGGCGCCGCCTGACCGCTCAAGGAGATCATCAATCCGAGGGAGAGGGCCGACGTTCTTTACGGTTTGTGCGTTAAGTTTGCGATAATCGATGCATAACCGTAGATCTTTGTTCTTCTTCCGGACGAAGAGAACAGGGGCACCGTAAGGCGAACAGCTAAGGCGAATCCATCCCTTGTCGAGAAGGTCATCGAGTTGTGCGCGAAGCACCTCGAGTTCCTCTTCGCTCATGCGGTAAATACATCCACGCGGAGGGACAGCGCCAGCCTCGAGAATGATCCCGTGACGTATGGGCCGATCCGGAACCGTTCCGGTGGGAGCCGCGAAGACGTCTCTATACTCGTCCAAGAGGTGAGAAATGTGTGGGTCCGGCGGTGATGCGGCTGGTCCGTCCGGCGAGGGGAGAGCATGCAAGAATACAAGGCCCATCTCCTCGACGTCATTYCGAGCWATGGCGTCGCGAATTCTCGCAACGGARACCACGTGACAAGCAATCGAAGTGTGAGGGGTCGCGACCGTACATGGGACTAACACTCCGTTCCGATCACGGATGTGAACGGTCCGGTCGTGGAAGTTCACCGGATGATCGGCGCTACGCAACCAAGACATGCCTAGAATCATGTCGAACTTGGTGTTGAGGATGTCAAAAGACACCGGCTCGCACCCAAGTGGCGCAAAGTATACCGGAACGCCGTCGGTCAATTGACTTTTGCGTGCGGTCGTCCGCGAGTGTAACTTGCGTAGGTTGCGTCTTYCTTCGAACGCGCGGGCCAAGCCCTGCGCGGGCCATAAAGGCTTGGCTCATAAAGTTGCAAGGCGCTCCGCAATCAATCAAGGCACTACATGTTGCCTTTCCGATTTGAATGCGGATATAGAGCAAAGGTGCGTCGGTTTCGGCGTACCTTTGGGTGGCGTACTCGCGGTCAATCTTCGCGAGATAGGATCGGAAATCGACAACCGCTACTCCGTCATCCGTCAACGGAGCTGGTACTGTAGTGTGCAAATAGGAGCGTAGATTTGCCATTAAGGCGTTGCAGTGCGGCCTTGGCAAGGTTCCGGTTGAGGGAAGAGGCATCCAAGCGAAGTCCTTTTTCGTGAGCGGGTCAAGCTCCTCAAGTCTTGACCACGCCGTCGAGTCCTCGAAAATCAGTTTTCGTGGCGAGCTGACCGGATCACTTGCCGACGGTGTACAGGCTGCGCATACGCAATCTAAGTGCACGTGGCTCGGCTGGTCTAGTGGTGGTACCATCTGGGCGGCATAATCCTCGTACGTAGCACGAGAATCAGCGACTAACGCATGCTCCCCGGTAGTGACATCGATTGCTAGCAAGGCAACCGGTTCCGGCGGAGTGAGGAGAGAAATCGCCTCTTTCCTTGCGCAACTCAGTTTCCCGAGTTTGCTGGACGGGGTACACGTGCCTTGCCCTCGTCGAGGCATTGTGCGGTCAAGTGAGTGACACCATTGCACCAAAGGCAATATCCGTACCGTTGACGAAGGTCATATACTTCCTTGGTTATCTTGTATGTCATTCATGGTTGTTGCCCAGTTCCTGCCGATGTCGTCGCGTTTGTCGCCTTGTTCTTCCGAACTCTCTTGGGACGCTTCGGCGGGATCGCTGCAAGAACTCCTCCATCACCCGAGGATGCTGCTGCAGCCTGGAGATCGACTGTTTCTTCAGAAATCACGGCATTGTTATGTGTCGGTCGTTGATAGCCCTGCTTAGCCACATAGTGCAGCTGGGACTGCTTCTCGTTAGCGCCCTTGTCGTTCGTTTCGATGACCAGGTTCGCGCGATCCAGAATAGCCTGGAACGAGGCATAGTCGTACTCGTTGCCGAGTGCCGACCGCAATCCTGCGCACGATCGCGAGAAAAACTCGGATCGTTGGTTTGGAAAACTCAAATCGAAGCCTGGCGTGGTTACTATCTTCTGCCACTTGATTGTCTAGTCTCGAGTTGGCATGCTTCCTTGTGAGCTGGTATACACGTCGTCGCCTTCACGCCGTTGCGGACCATGAACCGAGTGAACCATAGTTGCTCGAACTCCTTCCACGTAATGTGCGTGTGGAGTTCTGCGATGGTGCATTGCTTGGTTGCCGCCAAATGGTTCATCCATGCATGTGCTCCTCCAATCAGTTGTAGGTAGAGCGCCTTCAACATGTCTTCAGCCGAGACAGTGCGGCAAGATGCTTCCGTGAGGAAACCTTGCCACCATGTCAAGGCGTCTGTCTTGTTGTAGTCGTCGAACTTGCTGATGTTGAAGTGCGGCATCTTGTAGTTTTTAGTAGCGGCGTCCGGCCTTGTCTGCAGCTTGGTGATGTCCGTCTTGATGGCGGCCACCGTGCTGCTGATCGTGTCCGGACCAATGAAAGCACCGGGGTCGCCGATGAGATTGACGACATGGTCGATGCGCCCGTTGAGCTGCTTCGTCGTGTCTGTCGTGCAGCCTGGCGCTGCTTGGGAAGGCCTTGCCTCCAGAGCAGCAATGCGGGCGTCCATCTGTTTCAGCTGGGAGTCCGCGACCTTAACGGCTGCTGCCAGCGTCTTCACGTTATGGGTGAGATCGTTCTGTAGCTGCTGTGTAGATCGGGAATGAAGTTCCCCCATGGTGCTGTTCCAGATGACGGCACACATTGTGTTGAGTAGAATGTCTGCCAGGTTTTGTCTCTCCTGTTGTACTGCCGTCGGCTCGGCGCCTGCTACGGGCACATAATGCATCCCGTTGACTCGGCGTTGAGTACTGCCGTCCACTGATCTTGTTGAAAGATCAGAAGCTCAGCACTGTCAGCGTTGAGCTGGTCGGTCGCCAGCTGTGCCGCCTCAGCTTGTTGCTGGGCGCGGGCTGCAGCTTCTGCTGCTAGCCGTTGTTTGTCTGCTTCGGCAGCATCTTGCCGTTCCTTGGCAAGGGTTAGTGCGGCCATATAGGTCTGCACTCTCTGAATGTAGTCCGCGATGGGCTCATTCGGCCCTTGAGCAGGACAGACCGGCAATGGTTCGGCATTGCTAGATGTCGACGTCTCGGATGACGTCCCGCTGTTCGGCGTGTTCGCCATCTGAGTGCTGGTCTGTGGCTGCTGTCGAACTGCAGGTTGCTGTTGCTGTTGGCGATCTGCGATCCTCCTGCTGCGTCGTGGCTGCTGTTCGGTGGCTTGCCCTGCTGGCATCAGTGAACTGCTGCTGAGGGCCCCGTCCGAATGGTCGCAGAACAGTGAGAGGGAGAGGGTGGGTACAGGGGTAGAACAGATCAGGCAATTCTCATACAGCCCCTGTCCCAATGATGGACTTAAGACACCTAATCAACCAGAAAAAGATAAACTTTCCTTGAAAACAACTCAAAAATTTGTAAATAAGAAAATATTCAAAATGATAACGAATTAATAATCAATAAGGAATTAATGATTAATAATGAATTAATATTTCTTACCAATAATCAATAAAACAATAATTGTAATAATGATAATTTCCGAATTTGAATTGTAAAGATTAGGTATCCGTGGAGATCATCTATAGTCCGGGAGTTCACCGTTGAATAGTGAACTACCCGGAAGTTGCGATTCTGGGGGAATAATTACGAACAGTTTTGCCAAAAAAACAAATTTCGGAAATTTAGGAAGAAAAACACTCGAATTTTCGAAAAACGTAAAATTTTGGGAATTTCACCCTACAAAATCCGATTTTTAAAGGCCTAAGTCCGTTTTCGAAATTTTCAAACTTAGGGAAAGAGAGAAAAATTCGCGAAATTTCGGAGTCCAACCCTAATTTTCCGCGTTTCTGCGGAATTTCCGGTTTTACGGTTCCTTTTTAAGCACTGATTCGGCAAAAGAATTCAACCCTGTACTACAAGACCCCGTATTGGCTATACATCCTCCTTGTATTTATGCAGGATACGTTGCCAGTACTATTGGTTTTTGTTTATGTGTATCCGGAACTCAACAAAAAAAACACACTGCGCGTGAAATCAATGAAAGTGGGAAGCTGAAAGATCACTGTGGAAAAAGAAAGGCAGTGATCTTACGAAATCCGAATTAAACAGAATGTCGGATTACCCAGAATGCACTTAATCGAAATCCGAAGTAAACAGAATTCCGGATTAAACAGAAATCCGAAGTGAAAGTCCGAATAACGAATTGAAACGGAATGCCGATTTAAACAGAATACCGAAAAAGAGAAGAAGAAAAAAATTGCAACTTTGAATCTCGATAGTAATACTGAAACAGTTTTCACCTTTGGCAGTAGCCGATGCAGATCCCAGGGGTCGATCCCTTGACCTCAGCTTACCTGTGTAGAGTATCTGCACAGTTCCCTGGAGTTGAACCCGTGACCTGCACGATAGCCAGTGGTAAGTAGGTCGCCGTAGGTTGTAGGCTGTAGGGAGATTCGA